CCCCCCCTTTGTGTCTGACCTGCGCACGTACGCTAATCTCCCTCACCTCCTGTCGCAGAGACCTACTCGCCTGGACGGCGCAAGTCGAGAGCTTTCAGTGGCATGGCCGCCCTCGCACCTCTGGGCTATTGGCTTGGAGCCCTACACGGCGGCGTCTTGGCAGATCACCGCAGTTGGATCTTTTGGTCATTCTCCATCCTTGCCTTTGCCTTTTTTATGGTGGCATGGTGGATCGTACCCGCCTCGACGGAGCATCCAAGCCTGTCCACCTACATCAGGCCCGGCCTCAAGCATTTCGACTTCCTCGGAGCGCTACTCGCCATGATCGGTAGCGGCTGCATCGTCGCTGGCTTGACCCAGGGTAGCCCTTCCGACTGGGCATCCTACACCTACATTCTGGTCATCGCTGGCGTGGCTACGCTGGGAGCATTCGCTTTGGCCGAGAAGCAAGCACATCGGCCTTTGCTTCCAAACAGTCTCTGGAAGGTGCCCAACTTTACGGCCGTCATCATTGCCTACTTTTTGAGCTATGGCGCCTATTCAGCTTGGCAATTCTACGCCATCAACTTCTGGCTAAATCTGCAGCGAGTATCCCCTCTCACGGCCGCCTTGTATCTGACTCCGAACGCCGTCGTCGGCCTGGTGTGCACATTTCTCACCGCAAGTTTGTTGCACCTCGTGCCCGGACACTGGGTCTTAATCGCTTCGGCGATTGCAAGCGGTGCTGGGGCCATCTTTTTCCTGCCCCAGAGCCTCGATAGTAGCTACTGGGCCTTCTCGATGCCAGGAGTCGCATTGGCAACGCTATGTCCAGACTTGAGGTGAGGTCGGTCGATTGTGATGCGCGTTTACAGCTGCTGATACTTGCGCCTCACCTTGTGCAGCTTCGCGGCCGTGGCTGTCCTTTTCACGACATCAGTCCCCAAGGCTTCGCAAGGTGCGGCCGGATCGTTTTTGATGACTGCACAGTCGTTGTCGTCGGCAATACTGGTCAGCTTGGCGGACACCATCGGATCGCAGACGACTGCATCAAGACCAGAGGTCGGAATGGGTGCACCGAATAATAGCACCTTCCTTTTTCAGGACAGCGAGCTCGACCTGCAAGCACATCGCAATATTTGGTGGTTCTCTCTAGGTGTCGCGCTGTTTGGGGCAGCTATCACTGCGACATGTGTCCGCATACCCAAGACGCAGGAACGTGATCATGCTGAATGAAAGCGAGGATTGCACAATTAAGGTTACTATGCAGACTCTTTCATTCCATTCATTCAGCGATCATCACGTCTGACGACCGCTGCACAGACCATGTTCGCATTCACCTATCTATAGGTGGACTGGTGAAGCGTCCAGAGATAGAATTGGTGACACAAGTAGTCGTACTACTACTGGTACACTCAAGACTGATCATCGCCCCTTACTCGACGCAGTGCGACCACGAACATCACGACGCGTGTCTTGCAAATCTCGAATAGTTGTCCTTGCTTTTGACATTTGCAGAATTTCTCTCCTTTCCAAGCACCCTGCTGCCACGCGTGCTAATCTACGGCGACATCCTCCTGGGCACCGGTCGCCCAATCCGCGGACGCTAATCTTTCGTGGTCACCGAATCGTCTAAGCTCAACGGGACAAACCAATAAGAAAAGAAACGAAAAAAGCGCACTGCTTTCGTTGAGCAAAATGCTCCTCAACGATCCATACCATCGCCATCAACAGCGACCCAACACACCCACGTGAATCCCTTCATCGTCGGGCGCCCGCTACTCCTCGCAATAGCCATTTTAAAAACAAAAGACGAAGAGAAAAGGACAAAGATCAACATCGAAAAACAGCACTTTGTCGGGCAATTTAATACCGATTGCAGCTTTCGCGATTGATTGGTGACCCCTCGCAGCAGTATGTCTCGCAGCACTCCGAATGTTCCACATTGCAGCACTAAAAACAAGTCCCGAAAGAAAATACCAAGGGATCTGCTCATCGCGTTTAGGTATTCCGGTAGTACGTAGTCACGTAGTGCTTCAGTCAAGCGCGTCCAACGCGGGATGATTCAAGGACTCGCGGGGATGTAAATTCATTCTCGGACCGCGTCATCGTGTCTCTAGAAAAATGGCATCGTGCACATGCCTTTCAAGATTTGATGCGAAAAGCACTACAACACAAGGAGAGATGACGCGTTCCGAGCGCAGCGGGAAGAGAACTAATTGCACGCGCACTCAGGAGTCACGCTCTGTATCATGTACCTCGTCGGATTGACATGGTGACTTGCCGCTGCGCGTGAAGATACGCTGCAAGCCGAGTTGACAAATGTCTGCCTGAGTAAGGCTACGTTGGACAGCTGTTGGACAGACAGTACAAGATCCGCTTGGTGCTCATTGGTGTTTTGCTCCACTTCAAACCGCCGCATCTCGAGGCCTAGAAGGGCACCTGATTTGGCTATACCAAGACTGGCGTTGGTGGTTCCTCCACAACAAGCAATGGACAATGAGTACGGAACGCTACAGTCGGGATGCATGAGCAGAACACCTGTGCCTGAAATCGGCTCCCGCTGCTTGATGCATCATCTTACTTTGTCAAACAAAAAGACACTAGGCTCAAACTCTCGCCTTTCTCCTTCTCTCCTCCTGAGTCCCTCGCCTTCCTCGGTCATCCCAACGCGCCTGATGGCCTGATCGGCTTCCCGTTAGTGGGTGTGAAGCAATGCGGACTCACAATCTAAGCTTCCGTTGGTGGCCAACACTTGCAGAAAGCGAGGTCGATGAGCTTGAGCTGGTCTCTCATAGCTTGATCCCTCGCCAGCCTCTTCTGCAGGTCGCGCTCTTTTTCCTCCAGGTCCCAGACAGCCGTTTCAAAGCGCTTGCCGGCCTTGTAAGCCTGCTTTGCCACGTGTGGCCCAAGGACCTTGGTGACCTCGACAACAGTCTTCAGGTCATATCTCAGCTCCCTGCGGTGCCAAGGACGATCTTTTGAGAGCATTGAGCCCGGCACTTTTGTGTGGCTGTCCAAGAATCTTCCGACGGCCGAGTCAGCAACTTTGCCGGTTAGGCCCTTGGCAACAAGTCCCACAAGGAAGTTGGTGCAGTTGGTCCTGAGGCGCTCGAAAGCTGCGCAGAAGTTGTTCAATGCCTTCTGCCGCTTAGCTTTCACCTCCTCACGGAAATGGTGGCAGTCTTTGATCTCGAGGTCAGATTTTGAGCGGGCCAAGCGCTCCCACCCCTTCATGTCCTCCAGCGCCCTGAGGGAACAAGCAAGCTCCTCCTTCAGCTCAATGACCTGGCTTTTGTAGCCAAAGTTAGCGCGGGCGGCCTCAAGCGCATCCAGCAGAGTTGTTGCCTAACTCTCTTGGTCTTTCGCTTTGGACCTTTTGATACGCTTGGTTTTTTGCCTCGCTCTGCCCTTTCCTTTTCTTGGCACCAGCCCTCCTTTGGCCATCTTCTCTTGCAAGTTTCTCATCATGTTGAGCTGCAAGCTGGATGCAGATCACACAGTGTGTATTGAGAGGACTGTTTCCCATTTTCTAGCTGCCATGGACATACCAGATGAAGTCACCATCTGATTCTCAGGAAGCTCTTGTTGACCGACCACCACCTCACTCTGGCAGATGCAGAGACGCCCAGCTCTGTCAAGGTAGCAGGCAGTGGAAGCATCTCTGCCACTGATCTGCCCTTGCATCTGTTGGATCTCACCACACTGCCACCAGTCCCTAATGTCACTCCCGCTGCCAACCTCATGGATGCTAGCCCCGTGGCTCATCAGGCAGGCCCTCTTGCAGATCCACCTTGATTGCCTCCAGCTTGTTGTCGAAGCTCTGCTTCAAGTCAGCCATGGCCAAGGCATGATCTTGAGCTTGACTTTGGCGCAGATCTTTGGCCTTCTGCATTGCCTGGCGCAGTTGCTCGGCGGAGGCAGATTTGACTTGGCGGACTTGGTGGTCCCTTTCTGCCCGCTCCGCTGCTATTTCACACCTAAGCTTGGCAGACACTTTGCTCAATTGCGCATCAATGGAGTGTCAAACGGCAGCCAAGTCCTTTGACATTGCCTCAGATGTGCTCTGGAGAGCTTGACAAACATCTTGAAGCTCTTGGCCAAGGGTGTTGATCCGCTTGTTTGCAGCGGCATCTTTCTGCACGTGGACCTGCTCGAGCGAGTCCACGCGCAAGGCAAGGGCATCGTTGGAGGTGTTGACCTCCTCTCGAAGAGCCGCAATACCATGCTTGACATCAAGGACTGAGTCCTTGACGTCTTGCTGGAGCAGTTTGTGCTGATCGCCCACTTGCGAGATGCGATCACCCAGTTTGTCGAAGTTGGCGTCGAAGTCGCTCTTGATTGACGACGAGAAAGCACGGAAAAGCTCTTCGAGCGCCGCATTGCTCGTTGCTGGCTTCTGTTTGAGAGTCAAAACAAGTGTGTCTCAACTCGCGTCTCTTTCACGTGCTCTCGAGATCACTCACTTTCACCTTC